CATCGAGACGGAGGGCCAGAGAGACATGGCGGTAAGGGGGCGGAGTGACCGAGTACTCCAAACCCAGTTCTTGGAGTCACGAGCTGGGGTGTGGAAGGGGTATGGTAGGTCGTTTTGGGGTGTCGGGCAAGGTTAGGGGACCGGAATAGCTTTTTGGCTTTTCATGCATTGGTGATTTTTGGAATTTTGCATGCTCAGCCGAAGTCACTGCTGTCACTTCATCCGCCCCGCGTGCCCGTCACAGGGCGGAATGGCGGGCATGGGGTGCAGGAGAAGTATACTAGAAACCATTTGGCCCCTTTCCCTCAGGATCGTTTTCTTGTGCAAATTGTCCTTATCACAACTTACTGGGTTGTGGAGGAAGTAGCCATTAGGGGCAGGATTTCAGTTGGGGAGAATGCAGGAAATTATCAGGTGGGAGGTGTTTTGCATATTTACTGAATGCGGAGTATTTGGAGGCTAGCCAGGAAAGATAGATGCCCTGTTGTTTTTGTTTGTTTGTTTGTTTGTTTGTTTGGGGGGCGGTGGGCTTTGGATAGCAGGCTGAGGAATTTACCTAATTCAAGGATCCGTGGGGATCAAGCCACTGAAGATGCTCTAGAGTGATAGAATTGGAGCTAATGCTTATGGAGAAAGCTCGGGAACCTTGTGTAACTGTTGATTCAAGAGCTGAAAACTCTTTCAGATGGCATTTCAGGAACTGTAATGTTTTTTAAAAGAAACAATTTAGGTGGGACACAGTAATAAAATTTTAAACAGAACATTAGGAATTAGGTCTAAGGAAGAAGGTACTTGAAGGACATTAATCATGGTAAGGCATGTAGGCAATGAAAGATCATCGGAAAAGCCACTCCTGCTGACTAGCCAATGGACCCCTTTCTGTCTTCACTGTTTAAAATTCTGCCCATTTGTTATCCTACTATGAAGCTGGTTATTTTTTTCTCATGCATTTAAGGAATCTCCAAATATTGGCATAAATTTGGCTACTGATCAGCAAAATAGAATGAAGGTCCTGGAGGGTCCACCTTAGTGTTTCAACACTACCTGAACTCTACAAAAGGAGGATATTGAAGCACATAGTACTGTTGAGCTGCCCTTTCTGCTTCTGCAAGAATGTGGGAATGTAAAGTGCAGTTTGGTTTCAAAACTAATTTGTCTCTTCTCCCTCTCCCACTCCTAGGTTTTGATAATGCCTCCAAACTTGTAACCCTCTGGATTTCCTTTTCTTTTTCTTTTTTGCCAGTCCTGGGGCTTGAACTCAAGGCATCAGTGCTGTCCCTGAGCATTTGTGTTCAAGGCTAATGCTCTAACAACTCTTGGTAGCTTATTGGAGATAACAGTCTCAGGGATCTTCTTGCCTGGACTAGCTTTGGACAGTGATCCCCAAATCTGAGCCTCCTGAGTTGCTAGGATTATAGGTCTGAGCCACTGGTACCTGGCTGGTTTTCCTTGTCAATATGCCACTTGCAGACTTTGTTTTGGCCCTAAAGGACAATCCGTACTTTGGGGCTGGATTTGGGCTGGTGGGTGTGGGCACAGCCCTTGCCCTAGCCCGGAAGGGAGCCCAAATGGGCCTGGTGGCATTTCGGCGCCATTACATGATAACACTGGAAGTACCTGCTCGAGACAGAAGCTATTCCTGGTTGCTTAGTTGGCTCACACATTACAGTACTCGAACTCAGCACTTAAGTGTTGAAACTTCATATCTTCAACATGAGAGTGGCCGCATCTCCACCAAGTTTGAATTTATCCCCAGCCCTGGAAACCACTTCATATGGTAAGATTGGGACCCAGAGAATGGCTCTGAGAATGTAAAGGCAAATGAAGAAAACTGTATTTGGCCAGGTTCGTGCACTCATCTTGACCATTTTTATTCAGGTATCAGGGGAAATGGATCCGGGTAGAAAGAAGTCGAGACATGCAGATGATAGACTTGCAGACAGGAACTCCTTGGGAATCTGTCACCTTCACGGCCCTGGGCACTGACCGGAAGGTTTTTTTCAACATCTTGGAAGAAGGTATAGAATGGCACAGGCAGGCTTTGTATGGGGGTTGCAGAGATGGGAACATTGGACTCCAGAGAAGAGCAGCTTGGAGACAAGGAACAAGATCTGAACCTAGGGTGCTGGGAGTCCTTTTGGGCATAGCTTTACCTAATCAAAGAAGCAGTCTGTGAAGGAGAAAGTAATTGATTTTGTCTCATCTTTCCCCTCCCAGCTCGAGAACTAGCTCTACAACAGGAAGAAGGAAAAACAGTGATGTACACAGCTGTGGGCTCTGAATGGCGTGCTTTTGGCTATCCACGCCGGCGGCGACCACTGAGTTCTGTAATTCTACATCAGGGTCTGACTGAAAGGATTGTCAAAGACATCCGAGAATTCATTGATAATCCCAAGTGGTACACTGATAGAGGTGAGAAGCAGCTGGACTTTGAGCTAGACTGCTTGTGTTTAACAGGAGAGTAGGAAGTAGGCTGGCTTTAGTCAGAGCATTATATATATATATATATATATATATATATATATATATATATATATATATATATATATATATCATATATGTATATTTCTATCTCAATTCCCAGTGATAAAAGAGAAAGGTTACCTGTGGGGTGATTTTTTTTTTTCCTATCAAGGCCACCAGAATAACAGGAAGCAGACCTGAAAATTAATGTGGATACCTATGGCAAAGGATATGATTCTTTTTTTTTTTTTTTGTCGGTCGTGGGGCTTGAACTCTGGGCCTGGGCGCTGTCCCTCAGCTCTTTAGCTCAAGGCGAGCGCTCTACCACTTGAGCTACAGCGCCACTTCCAATATGATTCATTTTTGATTGCATTTATTGTGGCTGTATCCTAGGCATTCCCTACAGACGTGGCTACCTGCTTTATGGGCCCCCTGGTTGTGGAAAGAGCAGTTTTATGTGAGTAATTAAAAAAATTTATTTGGTAATAGGGTTTGAACTCAGAGCATCAAGCTTGCTAGGCTGATACTACCATTTAAAACATGTTCTAGCCCTGCTTTTGGCTGGTTAGAGATGGAGTCTAATTAACTTTCCATCTGAGATGGCACTGAACTATCATTTTCATATTCTAGCCTCCTAAGTACCTAGGATTACACATGTGAGCAACTGGCTCGAAATCCCCCCTTTTATGGGTCGGTTGTGGGGCTTGAACTCTGGGCCTGGGCGCTGTCCCTGAGCTCTTCAGCTTAAAGCTAACGCTCTACCACTTGAGCCACAACGCCACTTCTGCCCTTTTCTGTTTATGTGGTGCTGATGAATCAACCTCAGGGCCTCATGCATATGAAGCAAGCACTCTACCACTGAGCCACTTTCCTGGCCCCTTAAAAATCTCTTAAGTGGGCAAAACCTAGCCTTTGTAGAAAAACTGGCCTGGGGCTAGTGAAGGAAATGAATCCAAGACCAGGATGTTCCTCAAGAGATGTGTGGAACATTAGGTGGGGGTAGGAGAGGAGTTAGGCTCTGTGACACACCTTTCAAGACAGAAGATAGAGCAGTTGGGTCCAAGGAGGAATCCTAGGTTGCCTATGAACTTCTGCCATGCCATTATCCACAGCACAGCCCTGGCCGGGGAACTGGAACACAGCATCTGCTTGCTGAGCCTCACAGATTCCAGCCTCTCTGATGATCGGCTCAACCACTTACTAAGTGTAGCCCCACAGCAGAGCCTGGTGCTTCTGGAGGATGTGGATGCTGCCTTTCTCAGTCGAGACTTAGCTGTGGAGAGTAAGTTTAAGTGTGGGGAAAGGGGAGTGATTCTCTTTTTAACTTGAATTTTTATGGCACTACTAAGGTTTGAACTCAAGGCTTTGGTGCTTCTTAGGCAAGAACTCATCACTTGAGCCACAGCCTGGGAGTAGCTCTAAGTGAAGGTAGTGGGGTACAGGAGCAAATGAGGAACAGTGGGAGAAAGCAAGAAATCCAGAGGATTGATGGAGGCTGGCAACAAGAGACACTGAGTAGGGAGCCTTGGTGGCAAGTAGAACAAGGTATTTAGTACATGGCCACTCATGCTTCTGTTTCTCTTCCTGTAGACCCCATCAAGTACCAAGGTCTAGGTCGCCTCACCTTCAGTGGACTGCTCAATGCCTTGGATGGTGTGGCGTCCACTGAGGCACGGATTGTGTTCATGACTACCAACTATGTTGACAGGTAAGAAAGCAAGACTCTACCACTTCTATGCCTTGGGAGAACCATGTCAAGGGGAACATCTCTTTGGGATACCAATAAGAGTATCATCTACAATTTTGCTTCTCTCAGGCTGGACCCTGCCCTGATACGCCCTGGGAGAGTAGATATGAAGGAGTATGTGGGCTACTGCTCACACTGGCAACTGACCCAGATGTTCCAGAAGTTCTATCCAGGACAAGCACCCTCCTTAGCTGAGACCTTTGCAAAACATGTTCTTCAAGCTACAAAGCAGATCAGCCCTGCCCAAGTCCAGGGGTACTTTATGCTGTACAAAAATGACCCTGTAGGGGCAATTGATAATATTGAGTCTCTGAGGTGAGCCACCAAGCCATCCTCAGCTTTCTTCTTGAAATCAATAAATACCTGCCACACTAATATGGTCTCTGACCTCCCTTCCTCCCTCTCTGTCAGAATTGAGTACAAAGCAGGGTCTGCAATCAGATGCTTACAGAAAAAATGTTAGGTCACCACATACACAGATGAAGGACCAGGGCCTAAGACCGAAGAGACAAGAGTAAACAGGAAGATACATGCTTTCATCTAAGGGTATCCAAGTAAGAAATATATATGTAAATGTGGGTTGTGTTAGGGTGCTGTCTAAGGATTATCCCCATTTAATGTCAATTTCCCACTGTTTCTCTCTGAAACTGACTACACCAATGAAAAAGTCAGCCCCTTTCTACCCTGATCTTGGAGAACAGACTTCAAAGCAAAGGTGGGGGCTATTCTACCATAACTCATTCTTGCTAGGAATTTAGACAGAGCCAAATAGACCTCACAAACTAAGTGCTGTTGAGCAAAGAAAGCCAAACAAGGCCAAGTCTCTTTATTTCCCTCCACCCACTCCCAATTCCCTGTCCCCCCAAAGTACTGCTAGGAACCTTCCTCAGATTCCAGACCCAGGGGCTCCCTCCGACTGCCAGGCCGGTATGCTCCCTGGCCCCGGGGTACATGGGTGTAGGAAGAACCTGGTGTCCGGCCTTTGGAGCGCTCCCAGCGAGTACAGTCCCGAGTCCTGCGGGATGGAGGGCCTTGCCAGCTGCTAGGTGCTTTGTCTTGGGGAGGACCCTTAGTCCCTTGGTTGTGGGGTTCTGGCTTTAGGTCCACAGGATCCTTGAGGGGGCTCTCAGAAGGCAGTTCCTGCTTGTCACTGGTACCTTTCAGGGCACAGCACTCCCCTCCCTTCAGGTGCCGCCGATTGGGTTGTCGCCAGGGTCCTCGACCAGACCGGGGTGGATCTAGCATGGCTTTCTGGGTCTCACCCAATCTCTGCTGGTTTAGCCCTGCCCCAGGATTCTTCTCACACACAAACTGAGTAGCCACAGGCAGAGGAGTTGGCAGGGTGGCCTGGGAAGCTGGTGAGGAAGACTGTTCTGTAGCAAGGGCATTAGGTGTGTAGGATCCTCTGGAGACCTCTACAGCTGACTCAGTTTCCAAAGGGGCAGGAGGCTGAAAAGAAAAGAGATGCTTCGAGGGAGATACAGTTCCTCAAAGTAGGGACCGGCTGGCTCCCTCTCCTATCAGCTAACCACCACCAGCTTATAATCTCTGGTAGAACAAAGTACACCCCATGAGCCATGGTAGACCTGTGTTTTTAAGATGGCTGATGGTACTAAGGGACAAGTAGGGAACACTTCCTCACCTGCTGAAGGCTAATGAAGTATCGATTCCGCTCTGCTTCAAGATCAATAATGCCACCTCGCTCCTGCTGCCTCTGGTAGAGCCGCTTGAGCTCTTCCTGCTGGCGTAAGCTCTCAGCACTGGGTTGGTACTGCTCCTAAAGGGAAAGCAGCAGATGGCAGTGGGGATAGAATAAGAGCAAGCAGTGGATATGAACCCCTGCTCTCCCAGAACTGCCTCAGAAGCGTGAGTTTTGTTCCTTGGTTGGGTTCCTGAGGCTTTAGGCTCTCAATGAGGGCTGTGGCTTTACTCAGTCTCCAGAGATCCCATTCAGGAGAGAAAAGTTGCCATCCCTTCCTTCTTAGGAAATACCACTATTTCTGACTGATTACAAGTGTATCCTCTTACCATGGGTTGTTGGGGTTCAGGAGCTGCTTTCAGGGAAGCAAGGTCATACACAAGGGGCTCTCGGCACACAGGACACTGCACACCAACTGCCTTCTAAAACAAGAGGAGAATTCATCCCCAAGTCCCCATCCACCAGCCCCAGTGTTATGGAGGGTTTAGACTGTGGGGCCCAAGTGTACCTGGCTCAACAATGAGGTGGAATGGGGTGGTAGCCTGGGAAGCTGTGTGCATAGAAGGATGCCTTTATCCTAGGCAGAGATTTCATTCATCTCAAAGGTATTTATGACTCTAACAATGTGAAAACTAGAGCACAGAAGTGGGGAGTGGTTGTGAAGGCCTGGGGGTCTATCAGGTAAGAGCAGGGGCTGGTGATTTCTACCTGTTTGGTGATGGCATGCTGCCGTTCCTGTTCCCGCTCCTGTCCTTGTGCCTTCAGTTCTTGCTCCATGTGCTGGATGTACCGAGCAAGGCAGTGGCAGTGAAAGTAGTGGTAGCAGGGTGTTTTGGTGAAGGCCTCCTTTTCCTGCAGGAAGACAGAAGTAGGGCATTGTGTCAGCACTCACTCACCAGCCCTCTTCTGCTTGTGCCAAACACAGCCCAGGTCCCAGCTGAGGAACTCACCTGGAAACCATAGAGGCAGATGACACACTGGCCATGGGGGATGTTGTTATCTGTGAGGATTTCTTTTCCTTTCTGAGAGGAGAGAGGATGCGCTGTTCAAACATGGAGGCAGACTGTGTGCAAAGCCTGTCTACCACTCCCAGAAGTGGTAGACTGAGCTTCATGTCCATCAAGTGAGTTTGTTACCGTGTATTTATACATTCCTTCCTGGCAGTGCTTTGCTTACAAGTAATCCTTTTTCTGTGTCCCTATCCCTCCCGCAAACTTGATCTTCCCACCTTCAAAATCCAAGTTAAGCTGGCACTGGTGGCTCACTGAAATTTCATGGAGTTTCCTGCCTGGGCTGGCTTTGAATAGCAATCCTTAGATCTCAGCTTCCTGAGTAGCTAAGATTACAGGCATGAGACACAGGTACTTGTCTAGGGTCAGATCTCTTTACTGAAGTCTTCTGCCCATGAAGCTAAAGACACAGAATATGGGGAATGACACCCTTTAGCCTTGCTTAGGAGGGACTGGGACAGCAATAGTGAAGCTTTCTCTACAAAGAACAGACCTATAATACAAATTTGCCAGTTTATAAAAAAGCAGTTGATCCAAGTGATATACATGACCAAAAGGAACAACCTGGCTAAAGTTGAAGTTTTTTTTGTTTGTTTTGTTTTGTTTTAAGATAAAGTCTGAGCCAAGTACCAATAGCCCATGCCTGTAATCCTAGCTAATCAATAGGCTGAAATCTGAGGACTGAGGTTCAAAGCCAGCCCAAGCAAGAAAGTCTTTGAGACTGTTCATCTCCAATTAACCATCAAAAGGCTGGAAGCAGAGCTGTGGTTCAAGAGGTAGAGCGCTAGCCTACCAGGCCCTACGTTCAAGCCCCAGAGTGGTATATATAAAAAAAAAAAAAGTTAAGGCATGGATAGCCCATGTGGGCAGAGAAATGAAGATGCACTGAGTGGTATATTAAATGTTCATTCTCGGTCTGGGGAGGTAGCTCAGTGGTAGAGTGCTTGCCTTGCATGCATGAGGCCCTGGGTTCGATTCCTCAGCACCAAATAAGCAAAAAGAAAAAAGCCGGAAGTGGCACTGTGGCCCAAGTGGTAGAGTGCTAGCCTTGAGCTGAAGAGCTGAGGGACACAGCACCTAGGCCCAGAGTTCAGGCCCCACGACCGGACCCAAAAAATAAATAAATAAATAAATGTTGATTCTCATGACTAGGATTCAGAGGTCAAAGTTGCATTATAGATGCCTGACTTAGGAGTGGTACAGTGTTCTAATGCACAGTCCCTGATTTTAGGATACCCATCTTCGCTTTATAACAACAGTTTTCTTAAAAATCCCAAGGATAACAAAATTAACTTTGATTTTCATCTCCAACAAGAAAAGTTGTGTGTTCTACTTGTAGTTCTGTATGTTGTTTCATGCTAGTTGTCTTCTTAACCAGAGAATATTCTTCAAGAAAAGGAACCATGACTTCTTCTAATCAGCTCAATCAGATGGTCATCTGTTGCTAAAAATCCCTCATTCCCACCCATCCTGCAGGGCAAGATCTGTCTTTGCCTCTTTCACTTGTCAGTGCCAAGAGAACAAGAAATGCACTGAAAATGGAGCAAGAAAAGTAATTTTCTATCAAGATGCTTAAACAGGCAACCTAGGGAAGTCACAGATGTTCTTTGTGGGAATTTTCTGAAATATTAAGCTCTACATCAACAAGAACTAAGTAAATGACTCCAGATATATTTTTAAGAAGCCCTCAGGGGCTGTCTAGCCTCAAAGGAATGACCAGGCTAGCATACCTTACCTCAATGAGTTCATACAGCATGGCAGTGCCCAGCCCTGCCTTGGCCACATGGCCCAGCGCCTGTGAGATCCTGGAAGAAAGTGAAGCTATTAAGACCTACCTCCTTCCCTAGGCAGATCTATATCCCATTTTTCTTTTTTGTTTTTGTGTTTTCTTTGGTTCCAAGGCTACGGTTTGAACTCAGGATCTGAATGCTGTCCCTAATTTTTTGTTGTTGTTGTTGTTGATTGTGGGGCTTGAACTCTAGGCCTGGGCACTGTACCTCAGCTCTTCAGCTCAAGGCAAGCACTTTACCACTTGAGCCACAGCACCACTTCCCATTTTCTGGTGGTTAATTGGAGATAATAATCTCAGGGAACTTTCCTGCCTGGGCTGGCTTTGAACTGCAATCCTCAGATCTCAGCCTCCTGAGTAGCCAATGTTACAAGCTAGCTGAGTTACAAGCACAAGCCGATGTCCAGCTGTCCCTGAATTTTTTTGCTCAACACTGTCACTCTACCACCTGAGCCACAGCTACAATTATGACTTTTTGCTAGTTAATTGGTGATAAGAGTCTCATAGACTTTTCGGTCTGAGCTGGCTTCACACTGTGATCCTCAGACTTTCAGCCTCCCAAGTAGGTAGAATTACAGTTATGAGCTACTGGCACCCAGCCAATATCCCATTTTCTTGCTCTGACCTGCCCAACTTACTTGTGGATTTGTTCATCTGAAAGCCCTCGGGGGTTACGGATGGAGATCTGTGGTACTTCCTGTGGATACTAGTGGAGAGAAAGCAACAAATTACTGCTAAAATGATTCACCCAGGGATTGTCCTCTTCCTCCCTTGCTGCCATGTAGTAGATGCCTTACCTTCACTGGGACTTGAAGCACCAGTGTGAAGCAGACATACTGCGAATTCTGGTCCTCTGCAGTGGCGGGGTGCAGAGTGATCAAGATCTCCCATGGTGAAGATCTGCAGGTGGATGAAGTGGAGACCCAGGATGTGACTGGGCAGGGACTTGAGAGCTGGCAAGGAGGGGGTGAAACAGTAAAGCAGGCAGAGGAAGTGCGCATTGGACTTTCTTTTAAAAGGCTCTAATGAATAGCCTTTGTTTATATGAGAAACATCTCTCAATCAAGAATGATATCTTAAGGATCGATTCTCTATGGAATTCTCTCATTAGTAAGGGGACTCATATCTACTAGTTTAATACATACCTGTCATTTCCTTTAATCACCTGTAGTTCATCCAGATAGATAGACTCTAATACTTCAACTTCAGAGGGAAGAACCCTAGAGAGTCAGGGGGAGATTGGATCACCATTACAGTTAGCCCAGATGTAGCCTACTAAGGCTAATGAAGGCTAGCATTGTTTTAAAAAAAAAAAAAAAGGCAATCTGCTTTAATGTAGCCTCTTCTTAAATGAGGGAAATATATTTCCTTAAGTTGTCAAGTAGCCAGATAGGAAGCATGGGAATCAAAAGGGGGGCAGGGAAGGTGGCTCAGTGGTAGAGCGCTTGCCTTGCATGCCTGAAGCCCTGGGTTCGATTCCTCCGCACCACATAAGCAAAAAAGAAAAAAGCCGGAAGTGGCGCTGTGGCTCAAGTGGTAGAGTGCTAGCCTTGAGCTGAAGAGCTGAGGGACAGGGCCCAGGCCCAGAGTTCAGGCCCCACAACCGGACCCAAAAACAAAAACAAAAACAAAAGCCCTTAGCTATACTCACTAGCTACATGATCTGAAGAGTCACCTCTCTCTCTCTCTCTCTTCCCTCTCTCCCCCTTCGCCCCCTCCTCTCATGTTAGTACTGTGGTTTGGACTCTTGTTTGGCTTTTCTGCTCAAGACTGGTGTTCTACCACTAAGCCACACCTCCACTTTAGCTGTTTTCTCGTTAACTGGTGATGAGTCTCAATGGATTTATCTGCCCAGGCTAGCTTCAAACTGAGATTCTTAGATTCCTCCCTCCCAAGAAGCTAGAGTTACAGGCATGAGCCACGTGCACCCAGCAGTCATTTACTTTTTTTTCCCTATAAGACTGAATCACATTATTTAATGTATTTATAGACAATACCTCCATCCCTACTCTCTAGGGTTATTGTGAGGATTAAAGATGATTTGTTTCTATAAAGTATTCCATAGTATTCGGGCTGTAGCAGTTAGTCTAAGTCCTCTTCTAGTTTGTATATAACGTTTTCATTTATAAGGAAAGAGGAAAAGTACTCGTTATTATTTATAATCATGACTCTAAGTTAGGATCCATAGTCTTGATTTAAATCAGAGAATACATACGTATGAACATAAATACAGACGATTGTAATGCCATGGATGAAGTAATTCCATAATTCTACCTAGGCAACATATAGAAAGATGCATGTTTTTCTGTCTTATAAATCTTTCCCTTTTCATCAAGACCAAGATCTGCCCAAGTGGTCTTTATCAGTAGTTTTTTTTTTTTGGGGGGGGGCTGAGGGGGAGGTAGGGGGAGAAAGAGGAAATAGTAAACCTAGGGCCTCACCCATGTTAGAGAAGCACTTTACCACAGACCTATATCCCCATTTCTCTCTCTCTCTTTTTTGGTTGGTTGTAGGACTTGAACTCTGGGCCTGGGTGCTGTCCCAGGGCTCTTCAGCTCAAAGCAAATGCTCTACCACTAGAGCTACAGCACTACTTCCGGTTTTCTGGTGGTCAATGGGAGTGTGGAGAGTCTCACAGACTTTCTTGCCTGGGCTGGCTCTGAACCATAATCCTCAGATCTCAGCCTCTGGAATAGGTAGGAGCCGCCAGCACTGGCCCCCATTTCTTATTGACTTTTATTATCAGGCCTTAGGCAGAAACCTTAAAATGTAAAACTTTGACACAGAAATGTAAATCTTGGGAGTGCCACAGGCTGCTGCGGTCACTGTTGCCCTCTCAGGGCACTAGGTGTCCCCTCAGAATCTTAAACGTTCTTCCTAGCAGTGAAAATCACTTGCCTAGATGGTGACCACGGGTGGAGCTCACTGAACCAATGTATAACTGAGTGCAGCTTCAGTCAAGAGTTCTTTCCACATTTAGCCCACTGGGTGGATGTTAGGTACAGGATAGGATGGCAGCTGGGTGGAAAACCCTCCCATCCCACCCAAAAAAGACAAAGGATGGTGGAATGTCCTATTATTGAGTATAAGATCTGGGCTTAGTAGTAACTGAACCTTTTGACAAATTACTTTGTTCTTTGGAGTCTATCTAGTCTCATCAGAGCGATTCATATAAAGGAATTTGTATGGGCTGGGAAGTTGGCTCAGTGGTAGAGCGCTTGCCTTGCATGCCTGAGGCCCTGGGTTCGATTCCTCAGCACCACATAAGCAAAAAGAAAAAAAAGCCGGAAGTGGCGCTGTGGCTCAAGTGGTAGAGCACTAGCCTTGAGCTGAAGAGCTGAGGGACAACGCTCAGGCCCAGAGTTCAGGCCCCACAACCGGACCCAAAAAAATAAAGAATAAAGGAATTTGTATGTTACAAATCCATGGTGATTTTCTCAACTACTCTATGAGGCACATGCCACACCCACTTTTATGTAGCTGAAGATACTGACTCACAAAAGCTGGGCGGCCAGGTCAGCATCACCCAGCTAATAAAATGTGAAATGAACCCATATTTATCCTATGTCCGAATCCCAGAGTCCTCACAGACTCTGTTTTTTGAATAAAATTTTAGTGTCATTATTAAGGTGTTGTACAGAAGGGTTACCGTTTCCAGATTCTGATCTCTTAAGAATGCTTGGGAGGAGGACAAAGAGAGCTTCCCGTAGGGGATAGGCTTTATTCTGACAACTGCCCTCGTCGGTACTGTCGGGGAGAGAGGAGACTGAGCAGAACCTAGGCGGAAATGGGCTGCTCCAAAGGGGCAAGGGGGAAGCGAGCTGGAGGGCATCGGTTTGGGGAGGTGTGAGGTGTGATGGGCAGCCATCCCTTAAACCCGAGAAAATTCACTACAGAGAGTAAGCAGAGGGGGTGTGGCCAGAGGAGGAGGAGAGGGCGAACCGATTACTCGTGGAACCAGAGTGGCCAGGCCGAGGCAGACCCGGCCTCCTCCGCTCAGAGCGGCGCCCCTCCACCCTCGGGTCCAGGAGCTCGCCTAGGGAGAGGTGTCAGGGTCTCGGCCATCCCTCACCCGTCTCTCCGCCCCACACGCCCGCCGTACGGACCCGTCTGCGGCCGCCACTAGTTCCTACTACCAGATCCAGGCGGCCATCCAAAGCCCATGACCCAAAGTTACCAGTCTTCTTCCCCGGCAGCCGCCGACGCAGACGCCGCCATGTCTTCCCCGGCCCGCAGCCGGAACCGGAAATACCCTTAGGAAAGTCGGAGGCGGAAAACTTGGGCGGGAGAGGGTGGAGACGCGCCAGCGAGCGCCGTCTCCAGGCAACCGCAGACTCCCGGTCCTCAGCGGGGCCCGGTGACCCGGCGACAGCTGGGAAGTGTCCCGGGAAGTGCCTATGGCTGCTCCAAGTCCGTTCCCACACCTGCGAGAGCTCGGTCCTGAACTTCTGACCGGTTGTAGCGAGTCAAACTGGTAAGAACGGGAAACCGAAGAGGTCGGCCCTTGGGGGCGACCTCAAGTCAAGCACAGTATACAGGCAGCCAGAAAGTGCTCGGCTGGAGGCCCGAGCGGACGACCCTCGGCCCGGGGATGGCGTTGGAGCGCGATCGTGGCCAGCTAAGGTTTGGACAGGGATGGAGGCAGCGGTGGTGAGGATGCTCAAGGGCGGCCGGAACTTGAGGGAAGTTAGAAGAGGCTGGGTGGGAAAGGCTAGCTCGAGGGAGGCAGGGGGCTGGATTGGGGTCGCGAGCATCTCCAGAGAGGTACTATGTTTGTCCTGAGGTCTTATCTTCCCAGCCACTGTAACCTAGGATGTTCTTCAAGTCCGGGTTGTTTTGGAAAAGAAGAGGAGAAGGTAAAGCAGCTAACCTTTATCCCTCTCTCCTGTGCGAAGCAGGCCCCCCAGATGTGTGGAACTGTCTCTGGACCCCTAGCTCTGTGCCACCATCCTCCTCTCCCACCTGAGAGATCCTGAAAGCCTCGTCATGGAAAAGTACCATGTGTTGGAGATGATTGGTGAAGGCTCCTTTGGGAGAGTGTACAAGGGTCGAAAAAAATACAGTGCTCAGGTAGTGCACAAAGAGAATTATCTTTTCAGTGGGATTTGGTAGCTCTAGTAGTGGAAAATGGGACCAGAAGGGAGGCATTTATGCCAGCATGTATTCCTAAGGCTCTGACTCTTTCATACTTCTTTGTTTATGAAAATATAATTTTATTGTTGTTATTAAGCTGTTATTCAGAGGGGTTACTGTTTCATAAGTAATGAGTATATTTCTTTTTGGAAATCACTCCTTTCTTTGTTTTCCCCATTTCCCCCTCCTGTCCCTGCCCACAAGTTGCATAGTCCATTTTCCATATAATTCCTTCATACTAATTCTTTTTTTTTCTCCAGTCCTGGGGTTTGAACTCAGGGCCTGGGCACTGTCCCTGAGCTTTTTTTGTTCAAGGCTAGCACTGGGCTGGGAAGGTGGCTCATTGGTAGAGTGCTTGCCTTGCATGTATGAGGCCCTGGGTGTGGTGCTGTGGCTCAAGTGATAGAATGCTAGCCTTGAGCTGAAGAGCTGAGGGACAGCACCTAGACCCAGAGTTCAGGCCCTATGACAACGAAAGAAAGAAAGAAAGAAAAGGCTAGCACTCTACCACTTGAGCCACAGTGCCACTTCCGGCTTTTTTTGTTTATGTAGTACTGAAGAATTGAACCCAGGGCTTCATGCATGCTAGGCAAGCACTCTACCACTAAGCCACATTCCCAGTCCTCCTTCATATGTCTTATAAGCTCTCAAATAAAATTCCAGCTCATTACTTTCTAGTCTTAGAGCTACTGCAATTCTCTGTGTGCGTCTACCCTCCTCATCTCTAGAGTGGGGATAGGCGTAACATCTGACTGATGATAGTTGAGGATTAAATGTTTTGTCACATCCAGTTACTTGGTACAATGTCAGACACCTAGTAAACAGCAAATAGTGTGTGTGTGTGTGTGTGTGTGGTTGTGCACACTTGAACTCAGGGCTTGGGCACTGTCCCAGATCTCCTTTTGCTCAAGGTTATCTCTACCACTTTTTCTATAGCTCCACTTCTAGATTTTTGGTAGTTAATTGCAGATAAGAGTCTCAGGAATTTGAAACTTAGCCTCCTGAGTAGCTAGGATTACAGGCATGACCCAATAATGTTATTATTCTTATTAGTCTGTATTATTCTTTGCAGGAAGAAATAAACTTTGTGAAATCTATTCTCTTCATTTTTCTTCCTCTTTTCTCTATTTCTCATCTTGACTCCAGTGGTTAGATCAGAACACATATTCCAGAATCTATCAAAGGGATGTTTGGCAATGGCTGTTTCCTGAAGGTGGAGGAGGGGGAAGGGTGGAAGAAGCTTTAAGACCAGAACACTATGGGGAAAATAGAAAGGGGAGGCTAGCAGATCTGATAAAGAGTTGCTCAAGTAGAATGAAGGTAAAGGTTGAAATCCTAGCTTTGTCAACAGTATGGACCAGGCCTTGACTATTCTCTTTATTATCAGGTGGTGGCCCTGAAGTTCATCCCCAAACTAGGACGCTCAGAGAAAGAGCTCAGGAATCTACAACGAGAGATTGAAATCATGCGGGGTCTACGGCATCCCAACATTGTGCATATGCTTGATAGCTTTGAGACTGACAAAGAGGTATGATTTATTAGTTTAGGGTCACCTCTCCCATATCATAAGAGTCCCACGAATTTCCCAACTTCATAATACATGAATTTTCCATCAGTACTATTGCCTTCTCCCTGCAGGTGGTAGTGGTGACAGACTATGCTGAGGGAGAGCTCTTTCAGATCCTGGAAGATGATGGAAAACTTCCTGAAGAACAGGTATGTTTCCTGGCTTAAACTTCTCACCCTGGTCCCTCTCTAGGTGAAGGACTCATAGGGCAAACCAAGGGCGCTGAAAAGTTTGCATTTTTGAAGATTCTCATGAATGCTAGATTCTAGGTGTTCCTAGGGCATTGTATAAATAAAGTTGTAAATAGTGAAGTCACAGTATCTGAATACAAAGCTTGGATCTGCCCTTACTAGCTAGGTTCCTCAGACAAGTGAGTTTAATCTCCTTGTATTTAGTTTCCTCATTTATAGTGAGGAACTAGACATAATAATAATATTTAACTGTGAGAAAAGCAACTTTTCTATCCAAGTAGTTCATTTCCTTCTGTTAATCTGTGTGTGTGTGTGTGTGTGTGTGTAAGTGTGTAAGTGTATGTGCTGGGCCTGGGTCTTGAACACAGGGGCCTGGATGCTGTCTCTAAGCTTCTTTGGCCCAAGGCTAGTGCTCTACCACTTGAGCCACAGCACTACTTCTGGCTTTTTCTAGGTACCATAACAAAGAGAAAAAGAGAATCTCAAAGATATTCCTGCCTGGGCTGGTTTCGAACCATGATCCTCAGATCTCAGCCTCCTGAATAGCAAGGATTATAGGCTTGAGCTACTAGTACCTGGCTCCTTTCTGTTAATCTTGAGAGAACTGTTTTTCTGAAAAGTTCCTGCTTTGGCCAGGTGGCAGCCTTGGCCCTTTTTAATTACACTTTAGCTACATAGGCCTTTTTTTTGTTGAGCACTTTTAAAACATACTGTTAGAAACTCCTTAAATTTTAATTATATCCTATTATTTAAGCCATATCCTTTTGCAGATTGTGAACTTGAGCTCAGCCAATGTAAACAGAGAGGCAGGGCCTACTGGGTTAGGGAAAAACGAAGTGACCTGTCTGTTCTGTGTGCTTGCTTGCAAGATTTTTGGCTGATGGAGTGCTCTTCTGCAGAAGTAAACTTTACTGAGTTCCTTCTGAGTTGGTGTCCTTCCTTATTCCTATGGGAGATCCAACTTCCTGAGCTATTTCTAACAATACTCAATCCAGATATTTAAATAGTTAGCTATTATCAATGTCAAGGTCACTAATGGTCTTCCTTTAAGAAAGAAGATCAGTAGTGTACCAGAGAGGGAGAATAGTAGGAAATAAGAGCTGTGATAGGACAGAATCTGCCACCAGGTTAGAATGGAATTTGAATAATCTCCAGCTCTATTCATTCTAGGAGTTTCTCTGAAGTCTAACAAGTAACCTCTGCCCAAGAATTCTTATCACAACACTGTCTTTCAATCACTATTTTTAATATTTGTCTTGTTTTGTCTGTCTTGTATGCATGACTACTCTTGAGAAAAGGAACCTCATCTTATTTAATAACAACTACTATGTACCAAATGTTCACTGTATTCCAGGAACTATACTAACCATTGCTTTGTGTATTTTAACTCTTTTCATCCAAACAATAATCCTATGAGGTAGAGAGTATTGTTGCCTTATAGATGATACATCTGATAAATCTCATGGTCATACAAGCTAGCAAGAAATTCAGAAGACTTTCCTTGAATAAATGAATGGGGGAAAAAAATTAACAAGGGGAATAAAAATTAAGGACAGGGCTGGGAAGGTGGCTCAGTGGTAGAGCGCTTGCCTTGCATGCCTAAGGCCCTGGGTTCGATTCCTCAGCACCACATAAGCAAAAAGAAAAAAGCCGGAAGTGGCGCTGTGGCTCAAGTGGTAGAGTGCTAGCCTTGAGCTGAAGAGCTGAGGGACAGCGCCCAGGCCCAGAGTTCAGGCCCCATGACTGGACCCAAAAAAAAAAAAAAAATTAAGGACAGTATAGTGTGGTATAAAGATCGTATAGAGTGATGTTCTGAAAGAATGCAAAAGAGGGAAAGATCAGAATTACAGTGGCAATAGAAGTCTTTGGCATATAATTTGGCTCTTTCTTTCTTTCTTTTTTCTTTCTTCTTCTCACCTGGATGACCTTTAGGTTCAGGCCATTGCTGCCCAGTTGGTGTCAGCCCTATACTATCTGCATTCCCACCGCATCCTACATCGAGACATGAAGCCTCAGAACATCCTTCTTGCCAAGGATGGTGGCATCAAGCTCTGTGACTTTGGGTAAGATTTCTGAGCTTCCATCTGTGCTTCCAGTTTTACAAGGTGTCTTACAGCATATTGATGGCTTACTTGGGCCATATTTTTTTAATTTTATTTTGCCAGTTGTGGGGCCTGAACTCTGGGCCTGGGCACTGTCCCTCAGCTCTTCAGCTCAAGGCTAGTGCTCTACCACTTGAGCCACAGTGCCACTTCCAGCTTTTTCTGTTTATTTGGTGCTGAGGAATGGAACCCAGGGCCTCATGCATGCAAGGCAAGCGCTCTACCACTGAGCCACCT